ACAGGTAGAGTTATAGACACTGAGAGAGAGAAAGGTCTTCCTTCCGTTGGTTCACTCCCCAAATGGCCGCCACGGCCAGCGCTGCGCCGATCCGAAGCCAGGAGCCAGGTGCTTCCTCCTGGTCTCCCATGCAGGTGCAGGGACCCAAGCACTTGGGCCATCCTCCACTGCCTTCTCGGACCACAGCAGAGAGCTGGACTGGAAGAGGAGCCACCGGGATCAGAGTCTGGTGCCCATATGGGATGCCGGCGATGCAGGTGGAGAATTAACCAAGTGAGCCATGGTGCCGGCCCCCTCAGGGCTATTTTAAAGTGAATCGGTACTAGCCAAAATACGCTTTACCAGTAATGTTTTTGTGACTTCATAATGTTTTTCTCTCCAGGCTGTGGGGTGATGGAATTGAGGTTTATTTAGATAAAATGCTGTAAGTAGAAGTATAATACCAACAGAAATTTAAATGTTGCATGTTATCAAAGGGATTTCATATCTTAAAAGCATATACTGGCCGGCGCCGCGGCTCACTAGGCTAATCCTCTGCCTAGCAGCGCCGGCACACCGGGTTCTAGTCCCGGTCGGGGCGCCGGATTCTGTCCCGGTTGCCCCTCTTCCAGGCCAGCCCTCTGCTGTGGCCCGGGAGTGCAGTGGAGGATGGCCCAGGTGCTTGGGCCCTGCACCCCATGGGAGACCAGGAAAAGCACCTGGCTCCTGGCTCCTGCCATCGGATCAGCGCGGTGCGCCGGCCGCAGCGCGCCGGCCGCGGCGGCCATTGGAGGGTGAACCAATGGCAAAGGAAGACCTTTCTCTCTGTCTCTCTCTCTCTCTCGCTGTCCACTCTGCCTGTCAAAAAAAAAAAAAAAATTAAAAAAAAAAAAGCATATACTACTAAAAAGTGCCTTACAGGAAGATTTTTGCCTGGTTTGGGTAAAATTGTAACAAGAAAAATGTAATAAGCAATATATGAAAATAAACATTAAAAAGCAAAAAATAGCAAGATTTATTCAACAGCAATTTAACAATATTAGAGGTTATCACTACACCAAATCTATCTTGTGATTAAGTAATTAAAGGTGAAAATTAAGCATTTATTTTGTCTTTTCAATAGCAACTCAAGAACAATGTAATCTATCGGCTGTGGTAAATGAAGGAAAGTTCTTTACAAAGAATGCTAGTTAATAAGTGTAGAAGAACAGTATTAGATTAACACTGTACAAGCCCTAATGAAATAACTGATTCAGGCAAGGATCACTGATTTATGCTAAAACCATTAGGTGAAAGGTTTGTGTGAAAGAGTACTTATAATAGACCAAAGTTACAGAGATTATTTAACTACTCCAAAAGAAAAAATCATACCTAAAAAATGAGAGCTCTGGGAGGCCAGTGCTGTGGTGCAGCATATTCAACCACCAGTTGCGACGCTGGCATCCCATAGTTGAGTACCAATTTGAGCCCTGGCTATTCCACTGCTAATCCAGCTTCCTGGTATTGTGCAGATGGTGGCCCAAGTACTTGGGTCCCTGCTAGCAAGTTGTGGGAGACCAAGATGGAGTTTCTGGCTCTTGGCTTCAGCCTGGCCCAGCCGGGGCTGCAGCAGCCATTTGGGGAATGAAGCAGTGGACAGAAGATCTCTGTTACTGCCTTTCAAATTAAACTTTTTTTTTTTTTTTAAGGATTTATTTATTTGAAAGGCAGTTACAGAGGGGGAGAGGAGGGGACAGAGGTCTTCCATCTACAGTTTCACTCTCCAAATGGCTGCAACAGCGGAGCTGCGCTGGTCCAAAGCTGGAAGCCAGGAGCTTCTTCTGGGTCTCCCACATGGGTGCAAGGGCCCAAGGACTTGGGCCATCTTCCGTTGCTTTCCCAGGTGGATTAGCAGGGAGCTGGATGGGAAGTGGGGCAGCTAGGATTTGAACCAGTGCCCATATGGGATTCTGGCACTGCAGGCAGTGGCTTTACCTGATGTTCCACAGAGCTGGCCCCCCAGTGATTAAGCTTTAAGTCACGAGAAAATAGTTTTTTGTTTTGTTTTTGACATGCAGAGTGGATAGTGAAAGAGACAGAAAGGTCTTCCTTTTGCCGTTGGTTCACCCTCCAATGGCCGCCACGGCTGGTGTGCTGCGGCCGGCACACCGCGCTGATCCGAAGGCAGGAGCTTCTCCTGGTCTCCATGGGGTGCAGGGCCCAAGCACTTGAGCCATCCTCCACTGCACTCCCTGGCCACAGCAGAGAGCTGGCCTGGAAGAGGGGCAACCGGGACAGAATCCGGCGTCCCGACCAGGACTAGAACCCGGTGTGCTGGCGCCGCTAGGTGGAGGATTAGCCTAGTGAGCCGCGGCGCTGGGCGAGAAAATAGTTTTTTAAATTTTCTTTTCATATGAAAGGCAGAGAGAGAGATATATAAAGAAGCCTTCCATTCACTACTTCACTCCCCAAATCCCCACTACAACCAGACAGGGCCAGGCTGAAGCCAGAAACCTTGAACTCAATTCAGGTCTCCCACATGGGCGGCAGGGATCCAAGTACTTGAGCCATCACCTTCCAGGGTATGCATCAGCAAGGAGGGGCCAGGAGTTAAACCAGACACTGATACAGAACGTGGGTATACCTAGCGCAATTTAATCTCTGTGCCACACACCTGCCCCAAACTAAGTCATTTTATAGATGGGCAATGACACATGGTGTGTGTAATACCAATTATAGTATACCAATGAGATGGCCACATCAAAAGTCTAAGATAAATTTAACCAAGATTCAAATTAGATTTGGGGATAGCAGGCATATAAAACAATTATACAGGGGACCAGTGCTGTGGTACAGCTCCAGGTTCCTAGCTTTGGCCCAGCCAGTCCCGGCCCTTGTGGCCATTTGGGGAGTGAACCAGCAGATGGAAGATATTTGTCTCCTTCTTTGTAACTGCCTTTCAAGTAAATAAAATAATAAATAAAATCCTTAAGAAACAATTACGGGGCCGGTGCTGTGGCGCAGGTTAATCTTCCGCCTGTGGCACCAGCATTCCACATGGGCGACAATTCAAGTCCCGGTTGCTCCTCTTCCAATCCAGCTCTCTGCTGTGGCCTGGGAAAGCAGTGGAGGATGGCCCAAGTGTTTGGGCCCCTGCTCCCATGTTGGGGGCCTAGAGGGGGCTCCCGGCTCCTGACTTTGGATCGGTCCAGCTCTGGCCACTGCGGCCATTTGGGGAGTGAACCAGCGAGTGGAAGACCTTTCGCTATGTCTGTAAACTCTCTCTCTCAAAAAATCTTTAAAAAATAGATCTTGAATGAGGAAAATGGCTTTCTCTTGCAGAATGATAATTAACAAATGTTGAAGGAATGAGAGAAAAATCACCAGTAAAATACCAGCAATAACCAGGGGCAAGGTCTACCCCTGGAAGCTAAAATTAGCTGAAGAAATGTTAGGAGAAACAGTATTTGCATATTCTCTAAAATATTATTGGTTTTAACCAATGAAATGGTGGTTTTACCATATGACCACAAATTCTTTTGATATACCTCCATCCAGTTAGTGTGACTTAATTCTCCTCTCAAGTGTGAGCTAACCTCAGTGATTTGTTTCTAACAAAGTGTACAATGGACAACCAGTGTCCTCGGAAAGTGTCAAGGTCACTAAAGACATCCACTCAAAGCCTGAAGGAGAATAAAGAGATATGGCAACTAAATTCCAATACTGGAGTAGAAAAGGGATATCAGCGGGGGAACTGGGGATATGAAAGCCTGCAGTTAACAGCATTGTACCAATGTTAATTTCTCAATTTTTGATACATAGGCCAATGTTTTACACGATGTTAACACTAAGGAAAGCAGGTGCAGATTACGTGAGAGCTCTGTACTATCTTCTCAACTCTTCTGTGTCTATTCTCATCAGACTCTTACATTTGTAAAATATTACCAGGAAGAACAACTGCCACATACACAGGTTTATTCATGCATTTTTATTAAAAATAAATAAAACAGAAGCCCTCAGGATTGCATGTAAGACAAAAATGGCTCTTCTGAAGCTAACTGGGGTACTACTCTGTTGAAGCTAGACAATCTAATGACAAGTGGAGAGTGCTTAGAGCACCTGAATTCTATCCCTCTTTATATAAAACTGTCTCTAAGGTTTCCTGAGAAATGTTTTCTGAGTCACTACCTAGTTTGAAGACAGGCAATAAAAGGCAGTGAGAAAAAAACTACTCTGAAAGAAGCACTAAGGTCTGTGCTGCCTTTACTGGAATTCACTTAACATGATCAGTTGTATGCCCCAAGCTCCAGGAGCAGCTATCAATTAACTATACACAGCTGTTTAGAGAAATGGTCTGAAGAGGAAGTCACATACAAGATTTGCTGGCAAATCTGTGTCTTTATTACAATAAACTACAGGTAACACTGTACGTTTTCTTAATAAAGAAATGACAAGATCTCCTTTTCTTGTCTGTGCAAATATGAGGACTGAATACATTAATCTTTTGTTATTTACCAGTAAACTGCCAATACCTACCTCAAATTTTAGAAACTTAATGCTATTACTATTTGTTTATTTGCTAAATAAACACTGTAATTTGAAACAGAAAGCCCAAATTTGAAATCTGCAGCCCCTTTTTAGACCCAAGATATTTTCATGAAAACAAAAAAACCCACAAAAGTTTCTTAAAGTTTGTAGAATACTTTATAGTTCACCCTTATTTACATAGACAAATGCTTCTTTCATTTTCACATACTTTATCACATTTTTTTGTTTCTGAAGCCAAAGGATTTCCTATTAACAGTATGAATTTCAGTTGTATGTGTAGTGGATTATTTTTTTCTTTTTGGCTACCAAACACCTCCTTTGCTATTTTTAGAGAAATCGTCACCCGAGGGCAAAGCCTGACTCCCTACAGGATCTGAAAACACCAATTATGGTTTTGTGTCCTCCCTTGCAGCAAGAGCAAGTGCATGTGATGCAGCTAGGCCAGTTAGATACCTTAACACAGAAACTGTGCACAGGCCTTAAAGAAGCAGAGACTGAAAAGAATCCATTTTGGTAATAAATCACAGCAGTGGAGTCCCATGTCCAGTGCTAGTGGAAGCTGTGGTATTTGCTTGTCAGTGGACAGAAGAGCAGTACTCCTCCTGGGATGGTCTGTGGCTTGATTATTACCAAGGAACTAATAGCTGCCTCTCTTTCCCGAACATTTTCTAAAGCAAGTTCTGTGCCCTTCCTGCAAATTTGGGGAGTATCTAATACATTTTTAAATTTATTTGATCCATAAACTAGTCAGCTACTTTGTTATTTGCTTTTAAAATACTGACTGATACAAAAATTTGTACCTGAGCAGGTGCAAGCCAATGTCTCTTTCACAATGTCTGCTAGACTGCAAAGTAAAAGTGTAAAGCTTTCTTACAGATCTTGTTTTCCAAAATTGTTGTTGAACATTAAAATGTGTCTTTTTAGCTGTCCCATAAACTTAAGAGTATGGATTTAAGTATCTCATGTATTTACAGAATCAACTCTGAGATCACTTCTCAATCCTGTGCAGAAGTGGAAAGACAGCAGAAGAGAATTAACTGTTCAGGTAATGAACTGAAATACATTCTTGGGCAAGTGGATAAATATGAATATGCACTATATGTTAGCTAATAATGCTGTAGAAATATAATCTCCTTAATGTGAAAAAATATCTTATTATGTAACGTCCTTGTTCTTTTTCAAGATTTATTTTATTTATTTGAAAGACAGAGTTTTACAGAGAGAGGTACTGACAGAGAGAAGTCTTCCACCCACTGGTTCACTCCCCAGATGGCTGCAACGGCTGGAGATGCACCGATCCGAAGCCAGGAGCCAGAAGCTTCTTCCGGGTCTCCCACGTGGGTGCAGGGGCCCAAGGACTTGGGCCATCTTCTCCTGCTTTCCCAGGCCCTAGCAGAGAGCTGGATTGGAAGAGGAGCAGCTGAGACTAGAAAATGGGATGCCGGCATTTCAGGCCAGGGCTTTAACCCGCTGCGCCACAGCACCGGCCCCAATGTCCTTGTTCTTAATGGTAGAGTATTTAAGTCCAAAGTGTCATATCTTCAACCAACTCTCTCAAATGGTTTAGAAAAAAAACACATAAATATGGCAATTTTGGGTAAATATTAGCAATCGGCAATTTCACATGAAAGGTCTGTAAGTCTCCAGTGTTTTATTTTTGTTAGTATTCTGAAGGTTTTTAGCTTTTTGAAATGAATGAGAAGTGAGGCTCAATGGAAAAAGTCATCAAAATTACTACGTGAAAATTCTGTCAGGAATAAGACTTTGTGTAAATGCATTACACATGTTTGAAGCTAACATCAAATATTTCCGTAAGTGGAATCCAGGACTGGCATTGTGATACAGCGGGTTAAAGCCACAGTTTGAGACGCCAGCATCCCACATCAGAGTGGGGGCCGGAGTCTGGTTGCTCTGCTTCTGACCCAGTTTCCTGCTAATGCGTCTGGGAAAGCAGCTGAAGATGGCTTAAATATTTGGGCCCCTGCTACCCATGTAGAGGAAATATGGCTGCAACCAGAGACAAAGAAAGAGCAGACCCCTCCTCCCAACACAGACCTTGAAAAGTGGCTGCTCACAACTAACCAGTGAAGCAACTGCCCACTGTTATCTTGTCTAGGGAGGGAAGAAGTCCTAAGCTCTGCTTCTGTAAGCTCCAGCCATACATCTGTCCTAATAAATCTACCTCCCACCTCAGATTTCTGTAACACCCATGTGGGAGACCAAGACAGAGTTCCTGGTTCCTGGCTTTGGCCCAGCCCAGCCCAGCCTCAGCTGTTGTGGCCGTTTGGGGAGTGAACTAGGGGACAGAAGATCCCTCTCTCTTTCTGCCTTTCAAATAAATAAATCTTAAAAGAAAAACCAAAGCTTCAAAAATCAATCAACAAGCTTTAAAAAAAAAAAGTAGGGGCCAGTGCTCTGGCCTAGCGGGTAAAGTCGCCGCCTGCAGTTCTGGCATCCCAAGTGGGCGCTGGTTCGAGTCTGGCTGCTCCACTTCCAATTCAGCTCTCTGCAATGGCAGGGGAAAGCAGAAGATGGCCCACGTCCTTGGGCCCTTGTACCTGTGTGGGATACCCTGTTATTTTGTTTATGGAGAAGTTCCTGAAGCGGGATACCCTGTTATTTTGTTTATGGAGAAGTTCCTGGCTTCAGATCAGCACAGCTCCAGCCATTGTGGCCAATTGGGGAGTGAGCCAGTGGATGGAAGACCTCTCTCTCTCTGCCTCTCTGTGGCTTTCAAAAAAAAAAAGGTTGATCCAAAACACTTAGGTGTTCCTTTTTATTAATACACCTCTAGAAAATTAACCTACAAATAAAACTTAAAAAGCAGAATTTAGCAACGAGGCCCCTCTGAAGATTTTAGTAAAAAAGTATAAATAAGGGCCAGTGCTGTGGCTCACTTGGTTAATCCTCTGCCTGCAGTGCCAGCATCCCATGTAGGTGCCAGGTTCTAGTCCCCGTTGCTCCTCTTCTAGTCCAGCTCTCTGTTGTGGCCCAGGAGGGCAGTGGAGGATGGCCCAAGTGCTTGGGCCCCTGCACCCGCATGGGAGACCAGGGGGAAGCACCTGGCTCCTGGCTTTGGATCGGCACAGCGCACCAGCCGTAGCGGCCATTTGGGGGGTGAACTGGCAGAGGGAGGACCTTTCTCACTGTCTAACTCTTCCTGTCAAATTAAAAAAAAAAAAAAAAGCATAAAAAAAAGGCACAAAGTAGGTTTTTACCACTGATAAATTCCCTAAGAATGGAGATTTTTATTTTTAATCATATCAGTATTTACTGTCTAGAATACTGCCTGGAACTGTTACGAGATTCTTGTTACCGGTGCTGTGGCATAGTGGGTAAAGCCGCCACCTACAGTGTCAGAATCCCAGATGGGTGCTGGTTTAAGTCCCAGCTGCTCTACTTCCGATCCAGATCCCTGCTAATGCACTAGTGCTTGGGCCCCTGTACCCCTGTGGGAGACCCAAAAGAAGCTCCTGGCTCCTGGCTTTGTTGCAGCCATTTTGGGAGTGTACCAGTGGATGGAAGACCTACCTCTCTCTGTCTGTCTTTGCCTCTCTGTAACTCTGCCTTTCAAATAAATAAATAAATCTTAAAAAAAAAAAAAAAAAGATAACTTATTATAGTCTCTCAGAATGATTTGCTAGGCAATAACCTCTTTTTACCTCACTTCTTCTAGTTCGGGGTAAAAGGTTATGTTTTACTGATTAAGAAATTATGTAGAATAGTGACACAGGATACAACACATCAGCACCTCAACCTTACTCCCTTAGGTACTTCACAACTGTCTGCTTTTCACAAATAATCTGTTGCACTGATAGCTGGAACTGCCTATTAGCTAGTACCTCCTTCACTTGGAGATCAAAACAAACCCTTGAACAGATCTGTGTTTGCAGATGGCTTGAGGGATATACATACTTTCAGGACTATTTAAATTTTTTCTTATATTTTGCAACAAACTTATTATTAGATGACTGATAATGCATATTTGTAAATAAACTCACTTACTGTTGATGTGTCATTCTCACATCAAATCCAATTCACTGGGACTACTGCCTGCAACACTGGCATTCTATATCCCAGCAATTTGAGTCCTGGCTACTCTACCTCTATTTCAGCTCCCTGCTAGAGTACTGAGGAAAGCAGTGGAAGATGGCCCTAATCTTTGGGACCCTGCACCCACAGGCGAGACTTGCAAGGAGTTCCAGGCTCCTGGCTTCATCCTGACCCAGTCCAGGGCCACTGTGGTCATCTGGGGAGTAAGCCAACGGATGGAAGATCTATTTCTTTCTCTCTCTAACTCTGCCTTTCAAGTAAATAAATCTTTAGGAGGAAAAAAAAAAAATCCAGTGCACTGCAGTTACTGTTAATATTTTCAAAACATACTCAGAATCCAACCACCTCTCACTTCCACCGTTACTCCTTTGTAACAAGCCATCATCATTGTATGTTTTACCTGGTCTGGATTTCTGACTACTTATTTCTGCCATTGTAAAGGTTAAAACAGATTATATCAGTCCTCTGCCTAAAACCCTCTTATGGCTTCCATTCCCACTCAGAAAGACCCAGCCTTCACAATGAATGCCCTGTATAATCCGGTATATTCTGCCCACCCTTCATGGCTCCCTTGCCCCCCTCATCTCTTGCTTCTCTCCTATTCACTCTCCTCAGGTTATCTGAGAAGTGTCTCCCCAGAATCCCTAGCACTTTCTAGAGTGCCTCTCCTTCAGTTTTCTATTCAAATGTCACTTACCTCTTGTCTTACCACTCCCTATAAATCAGTACCCACCCCATCCACCTTACTTACCCTGCCTTAACATTTATCCATGTCACTCATTCAGCACTAACACAATTACTAATATAAGTGCTGTTAAATAAATGTTAAGATTTGTTACATTTACTGTTGTACCCCCCGCTCCCAGAAAAGTGACAGCCATGTGGTAAGCTCTTAAGTATTACTGAATGAATATATTTCTAGCATTCTTAAATAATTGAGTATTACACGATTCTTAAATATCTGACTTTAGTTTATCCTAACCTCAACCTAACCTTTGATAAGAGTCAACAAGCGCATTTAACTCAACACAAAAGAGATGCTATTACACAAAGATTACAAGGCCACACAAAGGATGCTAAGGTGCTGGGATTTGAGAGAATTAACGTCCATCAATTCACTTCTTCTGCACCAGCAATGTATTTCTAATCAAGTGTGTACCTTTTAAATCACAAACTCAAAGTCTGTAAAGTGACCAAGGCCAATGCAGATTTACTGTATACATTTTTATTATGAAAAACTTCAAATTTATACATGAGTAGAGAATAGCAGTATGTACACATTACCCATCCACTCCCTACATATGTTTGAACTTCTAAATTGTATGTTGGATACTCTTCAAAACAGTTCTGCAGTATAAACTTGAAGACTTTTTTTGTCTTGCAATGTTTCCAAAGTACTGCTGACAAGAAACCGAATACTGGCAACCTCCAACTCAACAAGGTGACACTAAGATTCAGACTCTCTTTTATTCTCAAGAATGAGTAAAATCTTGATTTATTCCTTAAAACGGTACCAGTTTTTGGGACAAATTTATTTACTTACCATGTACCAGACACTGTACTAAGAACATATTAAAGTGCTAACTTCCAGGGTTGTGAAAGCAAGCATTTTACATTAAATGTAAAAATCCTGCTGGGAAATCTTTGGGAAGAGTGAGCGTTTGGATTTGTGGGAGGTAGAAGCAAAAGAGTGGTTAACAAGACATTTCAGAGCAGGGCTACTTTGGAGGAAAAGATTCTTGGAAGGGATGTTCTACTGAGGGCTACAAGGCACAGTTAGAAACATCAACAGCTGAAAGTTGAGGACAGCAGAAATCTAAGATAAAGAACAAAAAGATACATGATCTTGGGCGGGCTACTCAAACTCAAAGGTTAGTTTTTCCGCAGCTACTAAGTGAAAACACTTCAAGAGTCTTGAAGAGGGTTAATGAGCATGTAAAGCACTCAACACAGAGCCTGGTATATAGTAAGCAGCCAATAACTGCCTGTGAATAAAACTCCACTGTTTCTCCTGCAATGGGTTCCTTCCTTGTCCCCAGGCTAGCACTATGCAACTACCTGTTTCTATAGACTGGCCTGAGACAGCTGAAGTTGTCTTCATTATTTGATAGCCCCAAATCAAAAATACTAAAAAGTTCCCACATATTTCTGGCAGTTACTGAAATTAAAAAATTTCAAAGTAATGAAAGATTCTTACCATTTGAAGGCATTAGTAAGGAACAATGTTTAACCCAATAAGCTGCTGACTCTCTTTAGTTCTACCTAAGAGGCAAGTGGAGAAAAAAGGTTTTCACACCGAAGGAGGCTAATAATTTTTGAGAGCAGTACTCTACAGATACAATCTTTCAAAAACAAAGGCCATGTCCTGTTGCATCCTATAAGAAGATACATGCTTTAGAATAACTTGAATATCCAGACAGCTGGAAAAACAATCTAAAATTGCATGATTAATGCATTGGGCTCTCAAACTGGCAGTTTCTGAAGAATGAAAAAAGCTAGTCAAGAACCCACTGAAAAGTAACTATGAGATGATACACAGCAATGTTTCTCTACAGTAACATTTTAACTATATGAATCCAATAATATCACTGTAGACCTCAGATATACACAGTAAAATGTATTTTAAACAAACCAAAACCCCCACTGAGCTTTTTTTTTTTTTTAAGAGAAATGCAACAAAGGCAGGATCACTCATCCAATAGTGCTTAGAAAAACAAAGAGGCAGGGGGAGGGGGAGGGCTATAAGACAAATAGCCCAAACTCAGGTCCTGTAACACTAATTCTAGAAATCCCCGGACCTGACTATTCATTAACTGTTGCTTCACAAAAAACCGCCCGTTCTCTCCGCCACATGTCAATGCCAGCAGGAGCAGGCGACGGTGGAAACGAGTTAATCCACTCCCTGGGGCCGGGGAGGGGGGTCCATTTTTAAAAAAGCAGTTTCAAAATCCTTGGGGCGTCCAGTTCGGCTTTTTGGTCGGGGGTGCTACGGAAGGAAAGCCAGCGAGTGGTTAACGACGGAGATTTGGCTTTTGTCCAGTTGGCAACCGCCAGAATAAAGTTTACTTCACTAAAAAGGAACACGAGCAGCCGCGAGAATAAAAGATCCTATCAACGAGAACGTGAAAGGCAGAGTTTCGGGCGGAGGACCAAAGTAAAATCAGAGAGGACTGTAAAGATAGAGAATCATCAAGAAACAGAAACAACAGGACGGGGCGGGAAAAAGAGAAGGAAGAGAACGAGTCGAAAGGGAGGTCTGCCGAGTTCGAAGAAGGGGTTTGAATGAAAAAGTCTCTGCTCCAGGTCTGAGCCGGCGAGGGGCCGTGCCCCGCGGCGGTGCAGTTCAGACCCAGCGGCTCACTCGCAGGGCTGACCCCTCGCCCTCCGCATCGTCCGCTCACAGCCCGGGTCTCCGTCCTAAGCAGCCAGGTGTGCGCTAAGGAGACGGAAAGCGCGATCTCGCGGCGGCCACGGAGAACAATAGGCGGGGCAGCGGCGCGGGGCCGAGGCCTCCTTCCGGGACGACCACCATCCCGCCTCCCTCATCGCTGCCCCAGACTCACAGAGTCTTGGGCATCTCGTCCTCCATGGCTGCTGCTGTCGCGGCGGCGCCTCCAGGTCCAGCTCCCTGCCCTTTACTACCTCCCAACTCCTTTGGGCAGCTATGGCTGCGGAATAGCAGGGTTTCTTCGTGGACTAGAGGTTACTCCGCCTCCTCCCGTGGCGGCGACTACACTCGACCGCCTGGCCCAGCGCGAACAATGAAGCCCCGATACAAGATGGCGGCCAGCCGGGAGCCCTGGGGCCGCCAGCGGAGTGACCCCGGCCGCGCAGGCGCAGAGTAACTTTGCATGCTCAACCTCCCGGCTGCAAGGCTATCCCTCCTTCCATAGGTTCACTTGTTGCGCAGCCGCTCTTCCACTGACTCGAGGCATGCCGCGGACTGCGCAGTGGCAAGGGTTAAGGGAGCTTGCCTAAACTTTTGTCTGCCGTCTCGCTCCTAAGGTTTTAATAGTGAATTCTAATGAAATAGAAACTTACAGAGAAGGTAAATGACCGCAATATTTCCATCAGCAGGATTCGTCATGACTGTTCAATCAACTCATTGAGAGCAAAATATCTGTGCGCCGCCCGGGAATCGAACCCGGGTCGCAAGAATGGGAATCTTGCATGATACCACTACACCAGCGGCGCTGTTGGAAAAAGGGCTCACAAGAAACTCTTATGAGAAAATTTAAGCAGCTGTTCTCTCCGACGCCAGGATGGATTTTATATTCATTTACTCCTAGAAAATGAAAATTTGACAGTGTATGATCTTCTACTTTTCAGCGATACAAGAAACTATCCTTTTTTCATCCCAATACAGTTGAATACATGTTTCTACTTTTTAAGCGCAGAAAAAGCTCAATTAATTTTTTTTACTTAAAAAGAAGAATTTAGTTAAGAAGTGTTTGCCTTGTTAGAGCTAAAATCAAATTTTTGAGAGCCAGAAAAATATTTCCAGGTAAAGGGTATTTCTTTATATTTGCATTTCTTTGGTATAATCAATGTACCTTGAAAAACATTTTAAGAAACAGTTGTTGAATGCAAACAGGTCACAATAATCTTAAAAGTAAATGAAAATACATAAGCTTCAGTCCTCTTTTAGGAACTAGAAAATTTAGGGCTCTAAAATGTGGTTCAGTGTACTCATTGTGCATTTCACATTGCATTTTATAAGTTACAAGAAATATTATTTTCAAAACAAAGGAGAATTTACACATCCGAAAAGAGGGAATTTACAAATTCCTCTTCAAAGTAGTGATACATTTTGGATTTCTATTTTTGGAAATTATCTTTAGTCTTTGAATATTTCAATTTATATTATATTATATTATATTCAAAGATATGAAATATTCATCTCTTGAACATGAATAAGACACATTTTAATAATTAAGGGTATTTTTAACACCTACTTGAGATACTCATTTAAGTTTTAATTCACAGTTTACTCACAGAGGTGTTCACCCATCACCACAATTAATTTCCAAAAAGGAAACCCTTACTAATTAGCCGTTGCTGCCTTTTTCCCATTCCATGCCACTCCCCGTCTCATCTTTCTATTCGCATAGATTTGCCCATTTTGACATTTCCTGGAATCACACAGGTGACTGGTTTCTTTCACTTAGCATTATGCTTTCATGGTTCATCCATGGAGCACATATCAGTTCTTCATTTCATTGCCCAACAAAATTCCTCTGTATGGATATTGCACAAGTACTTCTTTGGTACAGTATTTTTTTAAGTTACCAAAGTAATATATATGCTCACTCTGACAAGTGAAACAATATAGATACATAAGGAAAATGTTAAAATTCCCTTCATTCTTCCCCTTTTGTAAACTTTCATATATTGTTTGATATGCATAGAGAGGCACATGTATATAAGTACTTGGGATTTTCAGTTACTTAGAAAATAATGCCAGAGGTAATACTTTGTAACTTGCTTCTCTCACTTAAACTTAGCATATTTTCCAATTCAACAAATACAGATTTAATTGTTTTTCAGTAGTTGCATAACAGTCTGTATACTAGGTGGCATGGTAGATATTAGACTAGTATGTGACAGAGATTAAAGAAAATGGGAATTTTTGTGTGGTTGAATGAGGGGGAAAAAAAAAGGAAAAGTAGAAGCACACCTGGGAAGCTAGCCATTGCCCTCTTTGGACAACCTAGTTAGGTGGGTTCCAGTCCTCTCCAGGGGCACCTTAGTGGAATCTTGCTCTCTGGGGACCAATAACACTGTGCTAATGAAGTTCTGGGAGGAATTTCACAAATCCTGCCACACCTAGAAAGCCCTCGGCCCAGGATGATCCCAGAAGAGGGGAGTGGAGGAGAAACGGTGAGCCTATACCCATGTCCATAAAATCTCCAGTCTGAATCCAGGCAGGGCCCCAGTTCTCTGCGGAGATGCCTGCCTAGCAGGGGCATTGCGTTCATTAAACGTGGCTAGCAGCTCACTGCTACTCCCTGTCTCCCTCTGAAGTTCTTTTTTTTGCATGAAGACAAGGACTTCTGATCAGCCGTCTCCAGTAACACACAGAATAAATTACATTTATTTGATGGTAAAGTGAACAAGCAAATCACCATACATGGTATTGATGGACATGTAGGGTACTCTACTCCCCCCCATCTACAAACAACGTTACAGTAGCATCCTGGTACAAATATAAATTGATTGCCAAACCTGGAGTCACTGAATTAAATGGTGTGTACATAATCTTCATAGATAAAGGTTGGAGCCATTCACGTCTCCACTAGCAAGCTTTGAAAGTCCGTTCTTAAGACCTCCCCGTCCCACCCCACTTTTCTCTGCACTAAGATATTGTATTTTACTAATTTTTGCCAATATGATAAATGAAAAATAGTATATCCTTGTTTTGGTTCGCATTTACCTAAACTGCTACTGGGGTGGAGCTCTCTCTCTCTCTCTCTCTCTCTATATATATATATATGTACATGCATATATATATTATATGTATATAATTTTTAAACCATTGACACTTCTTTCATCTTTGACAAATTGCCTATTCATACATTTGTCTGTATTTATATTGAATTGTTCACTTCCCATCAATCTGTAGAACTCTTAGAATATTTGTGATAATGATCACAACCCTTTTGTCCTAATGGCAGCATTTTTCTCATGCATTATTTTTTGTTTTTACTTTTAAAATTTTATTCTTTGCCACCTGAAAAAGTTTAGGCTTTTTTTCCCTCCAGTGAAAGCCTCATTTACAGTCATTTGAGCCTTATGAAATTTACCTGTAAGTTTCTGTATCTTTCTTAATATGAATACAAATATTTAGAGAGAATTTGGGAATTCAGAAAATTAATATGAGTAGAAATAAATGTTGCCCTAAAATTGTATACCCTAGAGGTAACTTTTTAAATTTTTATTTAATGAATGCATTTTTACATAGATACAACTTAAAGAATATAGTGGTTCTTTCCCTCATACTCCCCCCACAGCTCCCATCCCACCTCCCTCTTACGCTCCCATCTCCTTCTTCATTATGGTTCATTTTTAGCATGACTTTATATACAGAGGACCAATTCCATGCTTATTATAGACTTCAACAATTTGCATCCACGCACACACACAACATATAGAATACAGTTTGAGGAGAGAATTTGCAGTCGATTCTCATATAATTCATTAGGGACAGAGGTCCTACCTGGGGAGCAAGTGCACAGTGACTACTGTTGTTCCTTTAACAATTAACACTCTTTTTTTATGACGGCAGTGATCATCTGAGGCTCTTGCCATGGGCTGCCAAGGCTATGGAAGCCTTTTGTGACCATAGACTCCATCAGTATTTGGACAGGGCCATAAGCAAAGCGGATGTTCTCACCTCCCTTCAGAGAAGAGTGTCTCTTCTTTGATGACCCTCCCTTTCCTCTGAGGTCTCACAGAGATCCTCAGTGTAGGATATTTTTTTCTGTCAGAGTCTTGGCTTTCCTTGCCTGAAATGCTCTCACAGGCCTTTCAGCCCGACCAGGAAGCCTTAAGGGTTGTTTCTGAGGTCAGAGTGTTATTTACTGCGAATGTCATTCTAGGAGCGTGCTGTATGGACTGCGTCCCATGTTGATCCTTCCTTCCTTTTTAATTCCATTATTTTTACTGGATACTTGATGTTATTTATATATTTAAACTTAGACTGATCTATCTGTTGCCTTTAACATTTAATATGATCATTTTAATAGTGAAGATCGCGTCTATACCACCGATTCTTATGGGTTTGGAGCCCCATGACCAGTTCTTAGGCTGTACCCTGAGAGGTAAGTCTGTATGACTGTAGGCAGAACTAGACTGTTTTACAGTTATAGACTACCTCCTCCATCTCTTATTCCCCCTCTTATTTTTAACTGGGATCTTTTTCCAATTGCCTTAAATTACATATAATTAACTTTGTGTTACATAGAGATTTCAACATATAGTATGAAGAAGAGAAATGAGAGAGAAAGAAGAAAACAGAGAAAAACAACAACAAAACAAAACAAAAAGATATACACAGTAAAAAGTAACAATAGTAAACTGTCCCTCTACAATCAGGTCAAGGACTCTTGAAGACATTGATTCTAAAAGTGACAATTTTGCTTCTATAGCTTTCATTTTAGGTGTGCTAATAATTCTCCCCAATCAGGGAGCACATATGGTGTTTGTCTCCTTGGGACTGGGTTATTTCACTAAGTATGAGGTTTTCCAGCTTGCTCCATTTTGTTGCAGAGGACTGGATTTCATCTTTTTTTTTTTTTTTTTTTTTTACTGCCATGTAGTATCCCATAGTGTACATATCCCACAACTTCTTTATTCAGTCTTCAATTGATAGACATTTAGGTTGCTTCTGTTAGGTAGGAAGTCAGTTATGAGCTTATGTGTGTGTGACATAAAGGCCTAAAGAGAAGACATCTATGTCCAGCATATGCATCTGCAGACAGTGTTTCAGGGGCAGCCCGGTATTCACATCCTGCCCTGCCCCCTTCTACCTGATAACCTGCCAGGTGGAGGTCCCCGCCCCTTCTGCCTGACAAATCTTCCACAATCTCCCAGATGCAGCCCAGTATCTGCATTCAAACACCCTGCTCCGGATCCCCATTCTCTAGGGGGTCCTGTTCACCCTTCCTCTGAACCCAGGATGGCACCAGCTAGGCTTCCTCCTGTCTGATACCTTCAAGGAAAAACTCAGACAGGAGCTTCTTAATATTTACAGCCATAAAATCCTTTGTTTCAGGAGGAGGTGTGTGAAGACAAAGACCCACCTCCTTAAAAACCCCTGGCCTCAACCAG